TTTTCCACTGGAAGAAGGGTTCTCCTTTTGCTGAAGATCAAGGGATGTACAACAAGTTAACGTGGTGGGAGCAAGTAGACCATGGACGGCAGCTTACTCGCAACCGCAAATTTTTAACTGTGGTTCCCGTTGTCCTGTAAGTTTCGAAATCCGATGTAACCCTATTTGTGTAGCTAAAGCTTTGCTCATACCCTCGACGGCCTTGGCACTTACTATTGAATTTCTTTTGTATTCAGATACTTGATTGCGTCCCACACAACAGACTACAGGAGTCCAGTCTTACTGCTCAATACAATTGCAGTGTTCGTGCTTTTGATCGCCAAGTTTCCACATATGCACAAGGTTCGGATTTTTGGGATCAACTCAGACTACCCAACTTAAAAGACAACCGAAAGCAGCGTAAGTGCTGCACAGTGTTAATTTAGGCTGTTGCAAACTTGTGAAATACCTATCTAGTCATTGGAAAGCTAAGCCGATGATTGTGGATATAAAGAAACAAAACACTTAGCCCCAGGTCGATCAGGTCGTAGCATATGACACAGAATTTACTCACAGCCCCCTTTCAGGACCTAACTCTTACCTCATGCCGGTCTTGGTATGTACCTTGCCTTAGTTTCTGAAAGAATTCCCATCCTGACTATTTCTGAAGTCAGCTGTGGCCTGAAGTAGTCACATCTACTACCTGCGGTAGGTTCTGTATAGTCGGGCGCAGACCTGATCTAACTGCGGGATCAGGTATGGTCTCCACCAACAAAATCTACCATTGTAAAGTTCAGCAGTAGCATTTCAATCAGATTTTTCACAGCAATACTCTCTGTCTCAAAGAACTGCAGCTGAGGTATATTCTATTGCGCTTTCACAGTCTAGTCTAAATGTGAGGTTATGACGTGGAAAGGCTACGTTCGAAGTCTTCAACAGAAGCCTGCACAGGATCTTATGTGACTGTCGTGTTCTTTACAGAGAGGTGAAATTATAGGCAACGAACGTTACCATCTTCGTCACGGGAATGTAAATGTAAGCTTGACGTTTTAGTGTTGACAATGTCTTGGGCAATCACACCTGTAATTACATGGGTCTATCTGAACTACAGATGTAAATGTTAACTTACTGGTTTTGTGAATATGTTTAAAATCTCTTCTATGTTGTGCTTGCCAACGTAAGTAAGAAAAAAAAAAGCAAGTATGTCACGCAGCGAGTACTAGCTTTTTTCTTTTGTCAAATTATTTAGAAAATATCGCTTGTTTATCTAGTGTATGAGGACCTAAGTATGGTACGGCAAAAGCACATCGACTTATGTAATCGTAGAATAGACGATGGCAAAAAATTTATACGTGGTTACTTTCATCTGTTATAAACCCGTGGAAACACTCCAACACTGGCAAGAGTTTTTGGCGATTTTATTGACTAATTGCTTCTTTGTGTACACCAATAAGCCCTTTCCGTCCTCTTCTCTCATCCAAGAAATGAGTTCACAGTGTTTTAGTATGATTTTTCGTTACTTTAGATTGATGTTTCTCACATAACCAACGAGAATTAAAAAGTGAACTGTATCGGCATCCGCTGTGTTGCTAGGTTCAATGTTGTAACTGTGTGATAAAACAGTCGATTGAATATTCTTTCAGCCAGCTCTTCCCTCTAGAAACTCATTTACTTATCTTTCGGCTACTTTCCCTCATGTGGTAATGAATTATTCCAGTGTTCCCGTGGGCAGTATTCAATGTTAGGATATCTTTTCAAGGTTTAGACAGACGTCTTTCAGCTGATTATCAATGTTCAATTGTAAGTATGGTAGCCCAATGTGGGCACACTAGTACGGATAGGGTTAGGTTTTCCTAGTTCAGAACAGATTTCAGATGGGGAGTTTCATCGTTGACGTTGAGAACATAGAATTATGTATATGAAGGAAATTACAGGTGTGAAGCATGATAAGCTCTTACGTCTTGGTACATGCCCGAAGTGAGAGTTTCTATTTTTAAGTATAGTACTGTCACAAGAACGGAGTTTTGGAGCTTTTGCTTCCTGTTAGATTATGCGCTACGGAATCGTTTTGGAGAGGTGTCGTGTACACGAAAGGAGGAGAAATATTCACAGGGATAAAATCTCCTTTGAAGATAGATTTCCGGAGGAGAAAATCGACTTCTACTCCTAAAACTAAACTAATCATTCACCTTTTCGGGGAAGGGAAGAATACACCTTTTATGAAGAATGATGTTTACGGAATGAGAAGTACGGTGGGGAAGTAGATGCTTAGAGCTCAGGGCAACCAGGCCTTGAGCTTCACTAGACTGTAGCACTGACAAGAAGAGCGACGAGAAGGCAGAAGATGGAAAGGGGCCTACAGTCGCAAGGTGGAAATACATTAATTTAATTTGAGTCTTTACAGTGGACAGATGGCTATGGATTTATGGAAGAGATCATGCAAAGGAATTTGTTGAGAAGTCAGGTGGACAGGAAAAGTCTGTTGCTGTAAGCTTGTGCGACTCTTGAGACAACTTGCTGGATGTTATGTCTGCACAAGCTAGTCTTGAATACTACTCATTTGTGATGAAACGCAAACATTGTGGTCTGCAGCAGCTGGCGTGTTTTTGACAAACGTCTGGCTTGAGTATGCATATATCATGTCAGTCCAAGATCTGGCCATTTATCTTGATGACGTGCATGATGCTTCTATATATCGAATAATAACTGTGAACGACAGCTTTTAACCCAGCTTCCAAACATGAGTTTAATGAATGATTTGACAGTTATATTGAAATATTTGTGTCAAGTACTTGTGAAGCAGTAGGGTTCAGACCTCTCAAAGCACTGTATGTGAAGTACTCAAATAATACTGAGCTCAGTATGGTGCTAGAATTTTTTGAGTACAGCACATACATGGATGAAGACGCGTAGCGTTGTAATTTCTTTTGATCAATCTATTCCCCTCTCTTCCATACGTCTGTGCTTACATCAGAAATATAAAAGTCTGCGAAAACCTCGGCATTTCCATTCTACTCATCATAAACTCAATAAAAAATGAGAAATAATCTCAATAAAGAAAACCATGATACTTGCAAAACCTGTCTTGCTTTAGTGATAGGCCGGGACGGATCCCAGCCTCTGGGACTCGAACATCGACAAGAGGATTTCAATCACACCTATCGCAGTTTGTTTCCTATTTTGTTGAATGTCCTGAATCAGAAAACCTGTGCACAAGAGGGACTCCTAGACGTGGGACTATCAGATCTAGACTTTCACTTATGTACATGTAAGTTTTGTCGCAGTCTTCTTCACTTCAATAAATATTTATCTTCCAGCATCATCAATTTATGGTGGGGTTACACCCAGCGAAAAGTAAGAATCTAATTTCTTACTTGCTACCCTTGGCCTTTGACTCTTTCTTCAAAAGCTCATCGGACAAATCTTTCGATGCCGCAGCTCGTTGGACTTGATGTACTTTGTGGGCCACCCACCGACCCCACCCCATATCCGAATCCTTAGACTTGTCTTTCCCCTGCTCCTGTTCAGCCTGCTCAGCAGTTGAGATATTACTTTCTAATCCATTCATAGAATGACGAGGAGATTCATCAAATTGGATAGCTTCATTGGGTCTTTGCTCACCCTCCTTGTTCACTGAATCCGCAGCTGGGGCTGCTTTGTTATCGGGGATAAGTGTGTTTTCTGACTTTGGGGTTACAACTCCAGCCAAAGTTTCCGCTACTCCTCCGATGCCATCTCTGTCACTGGATCCAGGTGGTGGTGCAGGCTTCGAGTTCCTCGCTTCCTCGGCCTCGCGTGCTTCCCTTCCTCTCTCAAGTGCTTGACGATTTGCCAAACTGTTTGGGTCCGACTGGAAACCTAAGTGCTTGGTGAAGTCCAATTTATCTTTGACCTATCAATTACATTCAAGTCAGTGTTCAGTCAAACGACCGTACAAATGAAATGTTATCAGAAAATGTTAGTCGCGACTAATCATGTCTATGTAAGAAACGAGTGGTAAATGAGTAGTTCTAATCTTCTTCAAGAACATTGGTCACCGCTGAAGAATGAGTCCTGCAGAGCAGCTGGCTTAACTGAGACCACGGTGGCTTACCTTGCTGAACATGCCTCTCTTGTAAGGTTCCTCGGAGGTTTGGTGACCACCTGCGTTTGTGCACAGATGAAAACCAACTTGTTATTCCCCTGCTTCAAGGTACCAAACTCGAGATTCGACGAGTGAATTATGATTTGCTGAGCACAGAGAGAAGGATAAGGTAACAAGAGTCATGAGTCACAAACTTAAAAAAATCTCATGGCTAAACAGCAGCTTTGTCCAGGGGTCTCTGTTAACTAAAGGAAGAATACAAACGTACTCATTTAGTGAAACTCTACAGATCCAATGTGAAGGGAGAGCCACTTTGAAGACACAACAAGGCCCAGTGTCAACCAGGTTTCCCAATGCTGTCAAAAGACACATGAACCTACAACGAAAGCAACCCTGTACTTGATCTTCGGCCGAAAACTGATTGGACTCAGATCAATTCAGATAAGACACTAGAAAAATCAGATCTGATGGAAGAAGATAGTGCAGGGAAAAAAATTTCTGTTCTCAACTCTGAAGCACTCCTGGAATGATGGTGGTTTCCCATCACCAGTTGGGTACTCTCATCTCGAATTATAGTTGAATAAAAACCTATCATATATTATCTAATTACGATGAATGATATAAGGGGATGTAGCTCAGATGGTAGAGCGCTCGCTTAGCATGCGAGAGGCACGGGGATCGATGCCCCGCATCTCCACGCGATTCTTGAAATCCATAGCTTTTGGCATTTCCGCTGCGGGTGCACAATAATTAAGCCTACGAAAATTGTTACTGCTGTGAGCCTACGAAAATTGATCACATTGCCAATAACGTTTCTCTCGATATTACGTAGCCATCCGTTGTAGCCTCGCGAGCCTGACTGACTGTGCAACAAGTAAAGAGATATGGACAGATCTCCATGGAGACTTGGGGGACCTAAAATGAATGCACACAGACTGTCCGACCTGCCGGATTCGAACCAGCGACCTAAGGATGCCTGTTGGTCCACTACAGTCCTCCGCTCTACCAACTGAGCTAAGGTCGGGTCCTGCCATTGCTTTCGAGCTAAGGCACTTAAAATATTAAAAATTGGAATGAACTAACAAGTATAACCCTACTTCGCCTTCAGACAATTCCATGTGACACGGAGACAGAAGATGCAAAAATGTGACCCATATACACAAAACAAGGACATTCTGGAAGACCCTGCCACAGTGATTCAAAGCCTACTGACACTCGCGTCAAGCACTGTGCGAAAAAAACGAGCTCCAATTTGCAGAGAGTTCACAGCAACGAGGACGAAGTCCAACAAGGAAACCGACTGGGATTCTCTACAATGGCTTCTTGCTTACTAACTGGACAGTAAGTGATGGAACAAGCTTCTGCGAGAGTACATGGGAAGAGAGCAGCTCTGCAGAATAGACATGTTCTGACTCGACTCGAATGGCAACAACAAGATACCTCTACAGCACGATGTGAGAAGCATGTTCACAAAACTGCGAAGTTCAGTCTGGCGAAAGCTTCCGCTTCGGAAATCCAGGTATGAGTCGGTCACCTTGGTTGGACTCTCCTTTTGTATGCGCCATCTCTACCCGCGTCGTGGTCACCGATCCACCTACAAAACAACTGCTCAACGACCAGCGGAGCAAACGCAAAATCCGCACAACTTTTCGTAGAAATTCTCTTTCGATCCAGCTCAATGCTCACCGCAGCTGCTGCTGTTGTTGCTGTCTTCACAATCTTGGCTCCGGAAGGGATATTCACGAAACCACTGCGTTGTAAAGAATTTCGCAGCGAAAAAGTTTGCTCTAGGAGTGGAAGCTACTGAGGGCCAAGTCTGAGAGCTTGAGGGCGGTCGATGACGGTTTTGTGGGCCTACCTGTTTCAGAGGCCAGTTGTCCGCAGCGTAAGCTATCCACCTGGCCTCGCTCGAAGTGATTGCGACGAACAGGGATTGCCAGATTGCCATGCAGGTAGACACATGGGCTAATGACTCCGTTCCATTCAGTGATGAAGTGTCGGTGTGTCCAGTCACTGCCAATGACTGAACGTGCTCTTTCTTTAGTATACAATATTACAGTGATGACCTAACTGTAATATTGTATACTAAAGAAAGATGAACAAACTCTGAGAACTAGCTCTGAGGTTTGCGCCAGTACGAGTCTCAGTTCTGCTCCCCAGGGAGAAAGTCGGAAGTCAGTTGTTGGTCCTCGGCTGAATTCCGAGATTTCTTGAAGCCCTTCGGCTTCCAGTATTTTAAAGTCTGTGCACAGTTTCCTCGTGAATCTGATTTGCTGAGCGCCTACTCGGTTTGTTATTCTTGTCAAGTGGACACCTCATTTATCCTTTTCCCGTATCGTACTGAGAGCTGCGCATTTGGCAGGAGTTTGTGAGATTCTGCAGAAAATATCGTACTTTTCTTCTTTGAAGGAACACGTCTTCGTACCACACCAACTCTTTCCTTTTCAGAAAAGATTTTTTGGCTGGTATGCTTCTGGTCTTTCAAAAGAACAGGTGAATGTTTCTATGAAGCAGTGGAATGAATTACCTGGAGAGGCTGGTGAGACTTAAGCTACTGGAACAGATGGCACAAAATGTATGGAGTATTGCGCACCTCTTTACGGAAGAAAGGAAGTACGCACTCCTCCGCATCCTGTAGGATTCTACTCCCATGCACCTTGCGTACGAAATGCCTGCGGGGGATCCACTAACTACGTGGGGTAGAATACAATAATCGCATATAGCGGCCACAAAACTGACGCATAATCAAATAAATGCGTGCCATTGAGAAAATTGGTGCGCTTCAAACTTGATGCTTTAATATACGGTTGTTACCGAATCAAGTTACAATCATATGTTACGTGGCACCAGCCTTGTGATTTTGCAAGGCGCGTACATGCTCGGCTATGGCAGGTGCCGATGCTGTATGTATCGTCGTCCTTCAAAACTCCATGAAGTTGAATATTGTCTTTCATAAGAGGAATTCAGCAGTCCGAAAACGGTAGGATCATGATCAGTCGATAAATTGAAGAAGTCTGCAAGTTAAGGTAGTAACATTGAAACAAGGATGAGGACTCCAGCTGATGAGAAAAGATGAGGCAGATAATAACGATATATCTGCCTAGGGCAATTGGCCTACATGCAGGGCAGGGCATCGGAGATGTCAAGTCAGAGCACATCGATGTCCACTAGGACCGTCATTGATTGCAAGCCAAGAGTTTATGAGATTTTGGTACACGGTTATCAAACACAACGAGTATGATTAAATACAACCTGAGGCGGAAGGAATGAAGACGTCCGACTGACAGATGGACACAGAGCAATCATGTCTCAAAATCCTCGAGTGCATCAAAATTGGAGATATTTCAGCGCGTAAGTGCTCGACAAGCTTCCGGGCTAGCGAGTATTGGCACCTACAGACTACTTGACTATGCAAAAACTTTGTGTGTTAAAACTTACATCCGTTGAGTGCAGGGCCTCTCAAACAGCTGGGCCATTTGCTCCTAATCCAGCGGCAAATACTAACTAAAAAGAAAAGCAGTTTTAAGTTTTATTGCTGTTTGATCTGTCCCAAAAATGTGGCAATCCTGTGGCTGAATTTTCAGTCACAGACGATTTTACTATTATGTACAATCGCGATCGACTTAAGAACTGAGGAACAAAATCGAGAACCTGCAGCTTGAAATTCTGTAAAAGTATAAGATTTCGCTCTCTTCTGTCGGCACCTCAACGGAAGGTCACTTATCGAGTAGATCCAGACGATGCTTTAGGTATTCCGGACACGAATCCATCTCGCAGCTTGCTGTGCTCGTTAACCAGCGGTGTTCCAGACCCTCCAAGAACTGCAGCTTCCACCCGTCCGCCATCGCCTTCCTTAAACCCTAACTCTTTGAGGTCTTGCTTAGCCATCAAGCCCCTCTCCATGCGACACTCCAGGTACACTTTCGAAAGCTGCCTACACTTCTCGGAGTCGAATTTGCTCTCCTTGAGACATTTCATGTAATCCTTCATGGCCGCATCGCACTCGTGTAAATGATCCAGGGGAAAAACTCCTTTTTCCGGGGGAATGGGTGTCAATCCCCGATTCCCTCCAAACGCGCCCCCGATGCTCGCCATCGCAGAACCCTAAAACCTTCAACTGTAAACACAGTGTCGAACAACAGTAAGGTGAAAGGCAGAATCACGCCAACCTAATGGAATTTGCTTTCTTGATCACATTTACATTCCCTGCATCTGGTGATTGAACTACGGTGCAGTCAACTACGGGAAGATGTGGCGTGGAAACAGCTCCTTCACATTCATGCGCGTTCTAACCCGGCCCGCGAGGAGAAAAGGGTGGTTGGGACAACAGTAGCAGAAGAAAAAGAGATCTGGACGGCTGATGATCCACAGCTGTGACGACAGACAGAGTCGCTGCACGTACAGACTCCTCAGTACGAAAGAGAAATTTTCCGCCGGAAGAAAACGGGACCGCTGAAAATGCGACTAATGCTTAGGTCGTTGAATATCGTATTTCGCCGTTAGGCGACAGCGACTCTGTGCCAAAAGATTTGTTCCTGATACAGTGTACTGAGGGAGATGCTTCCAACTTGACAAAACCTTGATTCTCAAGACCACGTCCAGCATGGGCATGCTCGATAATTTCGACATCAACGAACCCCTCCAACACACGAGGTACCCTTCCCGTGCACATCTCCAAACGCCCGACCCTACGGATCGGAGATCTGAACTTCGAAGCTTCGAAGTGATGTTTGGAAGTTGCTAGTAATCCCCGCAAGAAAAGGCTATAAATCTCATTCGGTATGTTCAATGCGTGTAATCTGAACAAGAGAATTATTACGACATGAATGAAAGCTATTGGGGTTCTCCCCAAATAGAAGCGGTTTGTCGTAAAGGCAAGGGTTTAGCAGGGCCACCATTTCCTCGTTGTGGGGAGTCAAACCCTAACCTTGGACACCCCGAAACATAGCTTTGTCATGGACTGCAATCGTCAAGGTCTTTCGTTGTACTCATGAAATATTCTATGACGTTACATAACACATCAAGCTCCGCTGATGTTCATGCTTGCCGCAAGTCTTCTCTTTTCCGAATCCTGTCTTCAAAGTCGTCTCCCACCGCCAAATGCTTGATTAAGACTGTTAATCGGGATATAATTTTCGGACTTTAGTCTAACAACCAACAGCAGCCGTTGAGCCCAATCACACAGCAGTTTCCGTTGATTTCTATGCAAAACACTGAAATCAAGTAACGGGGATGTGGCGAACCATCGGTGAGATGATTTGTGACGGTTCAGATGGCAAAAGATGAACTGACGGATGACAGAGGAAGGAGATTGGAGAATACAGTTTCGACGTCAAAATGAATGAAAGCAACCTTGGATGAGATTTGCTCCGTATACAAAAGTAACAATGCAAAATTTTGCTGCCTGTAGAGTCGAGTCTATCTACACATGTTTCCCAAAACAAATCCGAGTTCTCCATCCTACAAGCAGCCTATGAATCTACATATCGTCCTCAAACGCCACTGCAGACGCCGTAAGTGTGCGCTTCTTGAGGGTTCTTCGGAATGACACCGGCTAAATAAGCCTGCTGATAACCCCACCTCCACTCCAAATGACCATTGATCCAGTTCACCTTCCAGGTCCAGAAAATCCAGCCTCGCTCCTTCTCGTAGCTCAGCACTTGGGCAGCCCACCACCTCCTGTACCAGGACACCGCATCGGCCTTCTTGATGTCAAACTCTGCACCATCTTCGTCTGCGGTCGCCAGACTCCACTCTCCGACAATGGTGGGCGTATTTCCTCCTCTGTCGTTGGTGCACGAGTGGCTCATGTACGCATTTCGGTTCGCAGGCGGAGTGGTGCTCCACTTCAGGTAGTGATGATCATCGTACAGAGCGTAAGACAGATCTATTCCTTTGAGCCCTTCGTTGGGATCGCCGCTTCCCCACAAGCCGTTCATCATCATGATATGCAGCCTGTTGCTGTGGATGACTCCGAGGCTGTCTTCCAGCGCACGAATCCGCTTCCAAGCGTTGGGATAGTAAC